CGGGGGCACAGCGCCACCTGCAGCCCGCGGGCGGCACAGCCACCGCCACCGCCGCCGCTCTGCCTCCTTCCCGTCCGCTCCGCTTCTCTGCTTGTCATCAACACTGTCCTCTTGTTCAAAAGAGAGCCTCACCTGGGTATGGCCAGCTTTCAGCTGAAACTGTGCTCGAAAATCTGAGACAGTGCTCAGAAAGCTACAGTCCGATTGATTCTCAATATGTAAGTAAATAATCAAACTTTTCAAATGGTAGTCTATTACAGAAAATGTACATAATCGGCTTCGATGGAAAAGGTATAATTAAATGATTGAATTTTGCAAAAACTGTTAGCAAAAATCTGATTATTTGGCCATGTAAATGAAAGTGTTCCTTTAATTCAGTGGTTCCACAAGCAGTGTACTTCAGAGAAGGTAAACAGGAAAGATTAAATCACTTCTTTTTAGTGACTCAGCTTTATTGAGCCTAGCAGTTGCAGTCACAGTAGCCTTCAAAGTGTTTTATTGCTCTAAGCATACACTAAGCCAGATCCTAGTTTTCCAGTTAACTACACTGGGATCATTAATGCATATCTAATTTGGGCATGAATTATTCAGGTCCCATTACTTTGGGCATTATTAAAAACCTTTAGCAAGTCAGGTAAGTGGTTAAGAGAAGATAAATGTATTTGCCATGCTGTAAACACACCACATTTGCAACTGTTTAATTACATTGTTAGGGGAGATGGAGTATTTGCTGATGACTTACATTATAAAAACATTATAAAAAAAATGTGAGGACAGATCTTCACTGGAATCATATTTTAAGTCAATCCTGAAAATGACCTGTTTCTAACACTCTGTCAGAGTTGGACTGTTCTATGAAACTTGTTCCACATGTAACCCCCCCCTCAAGAAACCCACTCCATTCCTTCAATTGTTTTAAGCAAAGGCGCAGAACTTGAATTATTGAAGAGTGAATAAGGTTTGTGGCATGGGCACTGACCTTCAGAAAGATTCTGACTGCCCTGCACCAAAAGAAAACTCAGGGATCAGCAGGAGAGGTTTCAGGACATCTATGGGATGGAGGTGAGCTGGGCTTTTGATATGAATTCACACTGAATAATCAGATCCATATGGCACAACGTTCAGCCACAGTGTGGTGGAAATGACATACCATTATGGACCCAAAAGGTACTGCCTGCCACTTATCTAAGCAAGCTCCAACTTAAATGCTTAATCTAAACTGTTTTAGCTATTTCTCTCTACATGTTTGTAAACACATTGGAAAATTACTCTTTGATATGCTGCCACCTGTATTGTGTACGATGCAAAACAAAAATATATTTTAATAGAAAATTTGAGCTGTGCTTGTAACTGGTCTATCTGGGGTGGTTTATTGGGGAGACTACTAACAGCACAGATGTGGTTATAGATAAGCTGCAAAAGCTTAAATGTATTATGCAACTTATTTCAGTAGTAATAAATAACTGGAAGGAGTCAGCTCAAAAGAACTGAATTCTTCACAGTTTAATTCATACAAGCAGAGATTATTTTGGCAATGCAGTTTGGAAATTACTTTCATTCTAGGTAGAGAATGGTGAAAATATCCAAACATTTCTTTACACAAGTACCTTTTCTCAGTACTAAGCCCTAACATTTGTCTACCCCTATGGTACCTACTACAAGAGGATAGCTTTCCATCTAGTGCATTAGCAGGTAGCAGAAATATTACCTTTTATTATAAATAGAGGTATTTATTCTCCACTAAGCATTGATGACATTCATTTATCCAACATAATTGTAGGGATCACATTTTAATGCCATATTCCAGTACCAGTCACGGGAGAAAGACTGGTAGAGAACACTTAGGTTCTTGAGAGCTGAAGTGAGTTTCATCTCACTCAATTTCAGCCTTTTTCTATTGCTTTCCTAGATTTTATTTATTGACTGTAACGGAAGATAAACACCTCCAGAGAGAAAATCATTAGAGACAACCAGGGCAGAAAAATCAATTCAATCCTAGTTTTTTGATAATACAGAAGTTTTGCCTAACCCTGAAGTCTCCTATTTGTGACCTGGTTTGCCTGTTTGGGACCTTGATAATTGTCAGTGCAGCTTTCCTGGGGGTTGTACTTCTTGCTTTTTTTGCTGATCAAAGATGATCTACTCCATATCTTTTGCCAAAGTAAAATTAGGAAAGAAAGTTTGATCTTTCCAGTGGATATTACCAGGCTTTTTTATCTTTCATAACTGGCAAGACATATGCCAGTTCAGAGCTGGTTCTATTATAGCTTATACAAATCATATCTAATTCATTTCGCTGTTACATTGCTCTCTAATAAAAAAAAATAAAAAACCCAACCAAAACCACCCACCAATACATGTCTCAGTAATTAGTATTGTCTGGCAGCCCCAAGGTAAGTTAAAATGATACTGCCATTTTCATTATGACTGCCTTTTGGAAATGTAATAGGAACTTCTTATTGTGGACTAGATAGGGAAAGATGTATATGAAAAATGTCAAAGGTCACAAATAATTCTTTCCAGGTCCCATTTACTCTAGGAGCCTCTGTCTCTGTATATCTCTGCTGTAATATGCTGGCTCATTTGCTGGGTCTGCAAAGAGCAAGGATGATATCAAGACTTTCACTTATTTCCATGCCTGGCCTGCACATTAAAGCAAGCCTGAGCTCAGAGGCCACCCCAGCAGAGACTGCCAGAGACACACGCCTCTCTGCAGGTTCCTTCTGAAAGCACGGCTGGAGAGCTCAGTCTTTTGGGAACTTCGGAACATTAGGTTAAAGTTTCCTCACAAGGTCTTTATGCTGTGGTTTATCCTAGGAATGAACAGGGAGAAAACAGAGAAGTTCACTCATTGTCTTGAAGATGCTCCCCAGAAAAGTTTGATGACAAGCAGAAGATTTATTACAGTTCTCCCTTGCCGCACTGAAGTGGATGATTTCCATCTGCCCACTCCAAGAGTTCCAGAAACGGGAATAGCTCTAGTAAAGAGTCCCAAAAGGTCTGAAAGGTCAGTTAAATTTTACACTTCTTTAAGAAAAATGCAGCTCATTTCTCAATTGGTTAGGATGTGCCACAAAAAACCCCTAAAGGCTCTGTTTGTGTGCTGTTAAATGGATGCAAACTGTATTTCTTGACATTTTGTTGGCTAATAAGAAAATACACCTAAGAATAAGATGCACATATGGAACATTTATTTGTCATACCAGCCCTGACAAGTGAATTTCCCTTTAGACTATAAATACAGAACAGCTGTGAAAACCTAGACAACTTATTATAAGCAAGTATATGCTGAATAAGAAAATGAAAAGCAGTTATTTTGGAAATGGAGTCTTAAGGCTGTAAATGACCTCATAGAATTTCTTTATACTAATCATGTTTTTCAAAAATGGGAGAAATATGGATTTTTATATTTTTTGGTGATACTGGTGTCTTCAAACTTCATCTGTTTAAATTTATTCATTAGACAGAAATGACAAGTTGCAGTAGTATATGTTATTATATTACCCTGACATAAGTTCAAATGTGAGATCAGATCCTTTCTCAACACTTAAAGTAGGCTTGTAAGCAGCATGGAAATTGTAACATGGCTTTCATGGGTTTGGCCATGTTAAGACACATAGCTTTAAAAACAATTTGGATGAAATCTGCTGTCTGTAAAACAGTAATAAAGAAGATACTTGTTCTAAAGTTTATTAGACTGTGTGACTGTTCTTCCTATGCAAACACAGTGGAAGAAATATATAAAACATTTTATAACCAAGCATGCTCTGTTAAACAAATGCAATGCAGCACATTCTATTACAGAAGTTGCTTGGAAGCAAGATTTTAGAAGATTTTATTTTCAAAATAGAGCTTCCATGTAAAAAAATTAGATGGAAGCTTGATGTAGCCATCTTATGTCAACAGAAAGGGATATATTTCAGGCACAGAAATCAACATAATTCTTCAGGCACATACTAGAGAATAATTTAACACAACTGGTGGTCTGTGTTGAAGAAAAGCCAAACACTGGAGCTGCAGGGATTCTGCAGGTCAGAAACAGCGTGGGAAAACCTGCTGGTACTATGGATGGCATCCTCACTTCAATGAATGGCAATTATAAGCATTCTCTGAAAGTCATCAGTAAGTACATAAAACCTTTCAGATGAATTTTCACTTTAGTCAATTAGCAGCAAAGATGAGAGAGAAATGGTTTACTTTATGTCTTGCCTTAATTCATGATTTCTATTACTAGTGCTCCAGGATATAAACCAGCATTTGGATACTTAAGAGAGAAAATGTTTTCAAACCTTACTTACAAAAATCTGCAGCAATATATCATATAATTATATGAATAGAATTAACTTAAAGCATCACCATAAAAATAATTTTAAAAAGGGCTTCAAAGTTGTATTATATTGTCAAATTGCATAAAATATCAAGTTAACATTTCATGTCCCTTAGTGTGAATATTAATTTTAATTAGATACATTTAAAACCAGTAATTATGGCAACTTGGTCTGATTAACATGAGTTAAAGCAAGCCAGAGTTTATGTTAATTGCATTAAATACCCAAATTGTAACTTTTGTTAGAAATGTTTCAGAAACTGATAGAAAAGCACTGAATAGTCTGCAATAAGAATTTGAATGTGCTCATTCTTCACATACTTTTTCATCTTTCCCTTCAGAAAAAGCTTTCCTCTTTTCTCTTGTCTACCCCTACACACTTTAAAAGCATGTCATCACAATTGAGGTGAATGCTGATCATGAAAACAGCAGAAATAAAGGAAGATATTCCACTCCTGTTTCATTACAATAGCTAATATCTTACCTTGCATCTTTATTCAGCAGAGATCTACAAATTCTTTCCCAGTTTGGTGCTTGAACCCAGGAAGTTAGGTCTTTATCCTGTTTTTAGTAAGTCCAAGCTAGGTTTTATATGTCATACTCACATTGAAACATAGTACCACATTATCCAGTAATTATATTTAATAGACAAATCCCTTCTTTTTGATTGTATTTTTTTCCAGTGCTGGGTTTAGTCTGAATCTCTAAAATAACATATATAGTTGACTCAAACTATCCCACAGGGCTGCCTCTATTCTTGCCAGAATTTGACATTTATAGGTTTATATAAGGTCATCTTTCTCCACAGGCTAAGAATTACAGCAATGTCAATTTTTCTGCTTTACAAAGCCAGTTCCCAAAAGGGCAAGTGACTACAGGATCCAATTGCTTGGAAATTATTTCCAAAAAACCTGAGAAAGCAAAGAGAAGATGAGGTTTAATACCACCTCTCATTTATCCAGAAATTTAGAATTCTGGAGTTATGTTATCTGTTAAGAATGATGAGGCATATCAGTAGTTTTAGGAAATATAGACTGGTCAAAGAAGTGAGCTAACACTGAAGTCAAGGGAAACGACCACACATGAGCTTAGGAGCCCTGGGTCACAACCAAGTTGGATTTAGTGACAGCAATCATCTGTATGTTGATGGGGGACAGCATTGTGTGCCTAGAAAGGAAAGGTATTTTCCCTATTTCTGGGATCTGCAATTCCTTACTGACAGGAAACTGTGTGAAGTTCTGATGCAACTTCATTTTTGTTCTCCTTCTGCAAGGATTCATTTTTTCTGGTGTTTGTTTTTCCTGTACAACAGCCCAGTGCCCTCCCCACTGTCCCCACTCCTCTCCCCTCTGCACAGTCGCACTAAACAATTTTTGAAGTTTTGTACTACAGCTGGTTTGCATCTTTGAATGAATTGAAATGCAATTCATGTAAATCACCTCCTGCCCTGCCAAGCCAATAAATAAACAAACCAGAACCCAAGAAAAACCCCCAAAAATAATACTTTTAGTTTCTTCCAGTTGGACTTATGCCACCAGGAACACCTTCCTCCTTCTGATTTAAGATTAAATTAAAAATACCCCATACCCAACCAAAGATGTTTCAACAACAAACTGTTACTTTCCTCTTTTAATTGCAAAATTATGTTGTTGGATTTCTTTTTGTAGTTGGCACAAAATCATGGTACCTTTCCATTTTAGTATATATAAGATATATATAGATATATGTAGTTCATTATGCTGTAGAAGATCTTGATTTGTACATGAGCTGCACTTGCAAATCCCAGCTCTTCCTACTCTGTTTTCCTTGAATGTTGCTGTTACCTGGTGCAGAACCACATGAAATACTGCTCTGCTCTACTGTTCTCTGCCACAATCTTACTTAAAAGTTCTTTTTTCTTCCATTAAAATCAATGAAAAAACACACCACCACCCCAAAACCCCCTCTGCCAGATTTGTGTATGGCAAAAGCCCTGACAGACAAGGATGTAGAGGGATTTTGTCTACATTTTATCTTGTTCTCTGAATGTTGACTCTTACAGCAGTTCTCAACACTGACTCATGCCCAAAGCTAACCTTCCCCCTCCACTCAAACCAAGCAGCAACCTGGCTGCTTACTCACTGACACTTTTCTCAGGTGAAATATAAATCCTGCTCTTCTGGGGCACAGTCCTACACCTGGAGAGATGCCTAGGAAGGCACAGGTGAACTCCCTTGAGAGGTTAACACACCCTCTGATGTTCCTGTTGTGACCTAATGAAATTTCTATTACTCATGCACACATTACTGGTCTACTTCCCATTTTCAGTCTTTCATTATGTGGGATATGGGACAGACCAAAAAATGTCAGATGTCATGTGTTTGATTTAAACACACAAAGGAATAACTCCTCCTATGCACTGCACTTTCATGTACCACAATCAAGATTTTCAGATATTAGCAAATACAGTTTTGGTCACCCCGCACATTATATATGAAATTGAAAGCCAACTATATTTTGCAGGAAAAAAAATATATCAAACTTCTGTACTTAACAGCACTCCATTTGTTGGAAGTTTTAATGATGAAACATTTTAAGTAGAATTTGACTGTATGCCAAACAAATAGATCCAAATCCAAAAAACACCACATAAAACTCTACTAAAAAAGTGAAGCTTCGCTGGCAACTATTTTTAGGGTTACTCTTGCTTTAATTACACTACAAATTCTAATGTGGCACTAAGTCAGAGGCTTATTAAAATTCTGTATCATATTCACATGCCCCTACTAAAATAATAAAATCAGGCCATTTGACAAGATGTATTTTTCACAGTATATAGAATTGTTGTAATTTATACCTGTCTTAATACAAATTTCTTAGCAAAAATATCCAGCTTTATTATCTAGACCACTGAAACAAACAAGCAAGCTTGTTAAAACCCACCTCAGCTCACACAATGAACCTCAGAGATGCCTGGGTAAACAACAGTGGTCCCACTCATACATTCTTTAATGTTAATGGTAGATATGAAAATCAGTATTAATTCCTTCTGTTTATCAGTTCATCTGCACATATTCACAGCAGAGAGCATGTTTGAAGTACCCAGTCAGGAAAACAGCCATTATTGAACCTCCATCTGAGTGGAGTTCCACTATGCAGCTGTGTGCCACCACTTGTCCACAGGGAAGCTGCAAGATGTGTGCTTTCCTCGTGGGGCAGTTTTGAGAACTAAAGTGGGGAATGAGGAGAAAAGGATAAAAGTTAGTGGTGGTCTTTTACAGTCTGTTTCCTGGCTTTGCTGAGAGTCCCCCACATAAATCATTCACCAGTGCCAAAATGGAATGCTGCCATCATTTTACATCAAAGACAGCTGTGTTTGCTCCTCAAGTTTTTTGAAGGTGGTTCTGAGTGACACATAAAATAACCTGTAAATGTGATTTGCTTCAAATCAGAAAACTCAAGATAATTCACTTACAGAAACAGTATTCTAATTTCTCTCACATAATAGTGTCTTTGGACTCCTGGCCTTCAAACATATACTGGATTACCATTTCAAATAACTTTTTTTTCACTCAGGGTGGATTTTTTGCCTTCCTTCTATTTTGCCTTCCTTCCTTATTTCAGTAACTGTGGTTAACAGGGTAAAATTAATAAAGTGGAAAGTACAGCTAATCCAAAAGGGTCTTTGGTTTACTTGGTAA